ATATTTTTGTACTCTTTAAAATAATTGTTCTAATTGGTTAGTTATCCGCATGCCATAGTTGCAGCAGAAATTAAAAATTGAAATTTATTTGCGATAAATTCACAAACGCGAATATTAAAATAGATACCTTAATCTCATGCTGAAAAGAGAACAATTCAATTTAATTTAATTAAGAATCTTAATTTAATTAGATTAAGATTAAAATTATTCACCTACATATTTGTCATTTGTTTCCGGAATAAAAATGTATAAGTTCATTACACGTAATCTGATATTGCGCATTTATATGCTTCACACAAGGCAATTCGATAGAAACACCGTGATTGGCCGCGAGGTTTATACCTAATGTTTTATGCATTCTCTTTCTACAATGATCTTAAAGCATCAACAGAGGAAGGAAACAAGCAACCCATCTGAGGAGAATGTGGGCAGGTCTGCCGCATTTCCCTGGAGATTGAGATCGTATTTCCGGCTCTCACAATTTTACTATTTATGCAATATTGTACTCGGTCCCATCGGATCACAAGATAGGTCGTAGCATTTGAGCAGGGGCGAAGTTACTAAGTACTGCTAAAACCAGTTCTCCACTTCGTAAACTCTGCCGTTTGTTAAACAGTAACGATTGTAATTGCGGGAAATATAAATGCTTTTTTTACTTACATTACGTGTATTTATATTTGTAAAATAATGCATTTTATGAAAATAATTATTTTAATTTTTCCAAGAGATAGCCTAATCTATTATTTTTTTTTATTTGTGTATTCTTTGCTTTTGTGGAAAAATTATAACAGTTTTGCGCACTGAGGATTTAACAATTAAAGTTCTCTAATGAAATTTGTTTATATTAAAATATCAGTGAAGTTAGAGTGGAAGAATACCAACCTGTTATCTAAAAGAGATTTTCTGTTCTCGTTTGACATTATATTAAAAACAAGATGCAACAAGATGTGTCTCACCCGTTGCAGATTATAATTAAATTTCATGTCATGTTTACATAACACATAATTGCATTCTTTTTAATACTTTAATGTTTAATTAAAATAAATTTTATGATCACATTATTGTGTATATATGCATATAGTTGATATAATAATATATTTTACTTTATCATTTTTTGAAGTCATATGAAGTAATAAATATTTCCATTTAATGTAATAGTCGTTCATCTTTTCCGCTTTATTTACACAAAATGTCAATGTGTCGAACAGGATTATTTTAATATGACATATCTCCGTATCAAATCTCTTTCCTGTATCGCAATACATAGATTGCTATTATTTACATAAGAGTAATATTTTGTATCATTACCATTTTATTATGACTTTTTTATATCTGTAGAAATAATTATTTTGCATGCCCGTCAAGAGGCATTAAAAATGTTTGACGCATTATTTTTAGATGGAATCCAATCGGTTATGTTAATCCAATTTATATCAACTCAAATATATTATATATATATATA